ATCCATTTCATTTGGATGTTGGGCTTGGAATTGTATTCATTCATCCATAAGTCAAGGCCTATTGGTGAGTTGAGTCTAACATAAAAACCCCATTCAGTTCATAACCAAAATAAATAAAATAAAATTTTAAATACCTCGGCAATGATGTTTGATCAATGTTTCAAATTTAAGTATCAATTTTTTTTGTTTTTAAATTATTAATATTTTCTAAATACCAACTCTTGATTTTGCTTCATGCATAATTAATTAATTATTTTTTCTAATACCAAACTTTGAAATTAAGAATCAGCTCATGATTTCAAAATATAACATTTACTGTAAAACCCTCCTGTAAAAATATGAAAGTGTTGAATGATCAGATTAGTATGAAAACACATGTTGAATTATTTTTTGGATGTGATTATTGTGTGATAGAAGAGATCACCAAAAACATATAGTAGAAAAAATCCTCTTAATAATATTTTTAGAAGTACAAAAAAAATAATCAATAATAATAATAAATTTAAAAAATTAAAAATCTCAATCTGTACATGACCACAGAAGATAGTCTTTGCAAAGATAAACCTAGATGCCAACTATGCCAAACTAATTGCACAGTAACATTATATTGGTTGCATTTACTATTACGAAAGGCTTTAAACCCACACTCTACACAATGAATGAATGAAATTAAATTAAAATGGGAACAAAATGGAGTGCATGTGATAGTAAGGATTACAGCATTACAGGACAGTAGTTTAATGACGTCAAGTAGGCATAATTCTGCATCTAATTATTAAACACTGCATAAGAACCATAATTTTATTTTTTTTTGAATTTTTTGAATTTTTTTACTCTCTTTTCTAACAAAAAAAAAACATAGCAAAAAAAACATCATATTTTACAGTATTTAATTGACATATTTTTGCATTTATCATGGTAAGCCACATGACAAATTAATAAGATTTCTTTCAACACATGTTGTCTATTTGCTAACACACACAACAATGAATTGGTATACCATTTTATTTTTGATATGAAAGATGAATATAATATTGTATGATAAGAATTACACATGCATGTAAACAACCCTTGAACAAATATTTATTTTAAAACCACTATTCTACTCTTATCATATCACTAGCATGTATATACCATCTTCCATTATCCATTTTTGGCAACATTAGAATGTGGCCGTAATTTCCAAGTATAGGAAAAAGTACATCAAACCAACTAAATTCATAAGTTTACTTTTACTTTTTCGGCTCCACTCTGACACTTGCAGATTAGGATTAACTAAGCAACTGACACACCTCTGTTTCCCGAACCCACAGTGAGCTTTTACTTTTTATATTTGTAAATAGAAGTGGCCGGTGACGGGCGGTGGTTGCCTGCTTCGTCACAAACGCCAGTTCAACGGCGTCGGGCAGCGAGTGGCAGGCAAAAATATTTTCCAGCTGGGCAGTGACGGTGGTGGATGCGAGGCAAGCAGGGGCTGACGAATGCGGTGACATGGCAGAAGGTGACGTGGCATGCTGATTATGGCGCGGAATGAGTCGTCGACAGGGCCGTTCCAATCAAATCTAACAGGGGCCATGGGTAATGGAACATCGTAGGGTACGACGTTCCTATCAAGACCGTTTCCTCACTTGTATTATTAAACTGTAAAATGATGGAATGACCCATTTCAGGAAAGGGGAACCCATGCCTTTGAGTATAATATTAAAACTTGCTTTCAACGCCTTTGGATTGCAGGAGTTTTGTTTTGTGCATTGGCTAGGATGGTTGTAATATATCAAAATAAAATATAATAAAACATGTGTGCTTGTTGTTTTTAAAGATTGGTTCCTGTTGATATTTGATCAAAACAAACATGATTTCGTTCTCATAAACTTTACATACAATTAGGCGAGTTTGGTTATTATTTAGAGTGGAAAAAAATAGTATGCTGAAATGGAAAGTGTTGTCGTTAAATAAAATATCTAAGACCCACAAAAATGGAAAACGAAGAAGTTGTTTTTGGTTACTGAAAATAAAATTAAAACTGACCTATCTTGTTGTATACGAATTCTAAACACATGCTAAAATGTAATTGAAATATTTGAGATTAATTATTTCAGAACCCTGACAGTATTGTTGGGATAGAATATTAATAGAGATTAAAATTAAATTACATTTAAGAAGAAATACACACACACACAGATATATTTTTATATATATATATATATATATATATATCACGAGAGTCTCCATTTAATTTAAAATAAATAAATAAATACACACATATATATATATATATATATATATATATATATTTTTCATCCTTTAATTGTTAGAAAACAAGAGCCAACCCACTAGTGAGAAGGCAAGTGTCCTAATCCCACAGATCAATTTAATCAATCCACGTGCTTAATCACGCTGGTGCCGCTAATCAAGTAACTACCAGTACTAATCAGTACTTACTTAGGGTGTCACTGCTGTACCTGCCCTTTCTAACCCCCTAAAAGGCTGGATTTGACCCAAGTCAAGTTTCAAATTTTAATCGTAAGTACAAAAAATTTAAATGAAATAAGGTAATTAAATTAACAAATAAAAATAACTAAAAAAGTGAAAAGTCATTAAGGGTAACTTTTGTTGTTAAATGTCTTCATGGTACCTCTATAGAGCAATAAATTTGATGGGTAATATGCCAATTGTTTTCAGTCCTTTGTTTGCCTTGAAAGGCTTGGCTTGAATCTCCTTTCGAAGACACCCCTTGTCTTGGAGTGAAATATATATATATATATATATATATATATATATATCAAAAGTAAAAGTTAGGGTAAAAAAAAATTCCATGTACGTTGGGACCATTCCCTAGATCATGTGCTTAATATAAATGGAACCCTAATTAATCTCAATAACATAACTAATTATTGAGGTTAAAGAATTACAAGACTTATAAAACATCCACGCCATCAATCCCCAACACGTATAAAATATAACGGGTCCGCGAGGGTCCGCCCAATCACGAGCACCCAGCTGGCACAGGGTGGGCTCACCCCGCCAGGCCCGCGTAGGCTCAGGGGTTGAAAGGCCTTCCTTGTGAGGCTCATTCAATGGCTGTCCCTAGATCTGTTGAAGTTGATTGTTGTTTGTTTTATTGCATGTTTAGTTATTTATTGTTAAAACCATTATTGATGTATCCTGCACATTTCTGCCCTTGTGTGACAATGATATCCAACTATTCATTTTTTGGGATTATAAGATGAGGATTTTCCTAAGTGTTTAGAATAGGAAATCTTTTTTAAGGTCTTGAAATGAGGATGTTTTAGGGTTGTGGGAGGAGGGGGGGGGTGTGTGTGTGTGTGTGTGTTTGTACATTGTGGGATATAATATGGCAAGTGATACGTACAAAAAGGAAACATGGAAAATATAGATCATGTTGATTTATTTTGATACAATGAGAGTGTGTAAAGGAACATAGAAGAAATATGTGATATTTGAGGATTTTGAATAGAACAATAATACCATATTGTATATAGGAAATCGTGTTTCTTACAAAATGGTTTTTGGCTTTTATTAAGGATTTACTTTTTCAATGATCTAGGTGATAAATTTAAAAGGATAGATCTTATAATATAGTGCTATGATTTGTGATGTTTAAATGTAAGGATAATATTAGTCTTTCCTACATGTTGAAAGTATAGGATTGATAAATTGTAAGTGTGATTCATGTCAGTTTATTTATTTATTGTTTAAAGAATTGCACTATTACAAAAATAAAAAAATATGAACATAAAATATGTATGTTGTATTTGACAATACAAAATGTTCTCATGTTAAATTTTAATTTGTGAATTTTGAATTTTACAAGACATTTATAAAATTTTGAGATTTGATTTTTACATTATTCAAAATCATTGTTTTTTTTTTTGTACACAGTTTAAATTATTACGAAAAAATAACACTAATTTCATGTTTTTTTAACTTAAAAATGTGGATTTGATTGTGAAAATAAAACATTATATATGTAGAGAAAAAAATTGAATATTGATACTAATTTTCTAATGGTATAAATCTAGTGTGACCTTTGTCTAATTAAATTTTATTTGTGAAGTTATTACATTTATATAATTTAAAAACAAAATGAGACAATATTTTCTTTATGTATACATATATATAATTATATATTTTAATAAACTTTCAATTACCATTTTTTTAATAACATGGATTATCTATAAAAGCAATTGTAAGAAATAAAATAAAATAAAAAATATTATAAAAATTAAAATTAATTCATTTTGTTAATGTATTATTGTTCTTTACATGATATACTTTATCCATCTTTATGTTACTATAATGCTGTTCTCTTTTCATCAAAATAGAAGAAGAAGAAAATATCACAATATTTTTATAAAATTAAATTAAAGAATTCATGGCTGCAATTTAAAAACCTCACTTTCTTTTACAACTATGATTATACCAAGTAAATAATTAAATAAACCATTTATCTACATATGTGTTTGTATATATGTATAATTGGTTTCATCCACACATTATTCCTATTAAAAAATAAATCATGAATTAATCTTGTACAGAAGGGTAATATAACTATATCTATTACTTTAAAAGTTAATAACTAATTTTGATGTGCGATTAAATTATAATACTACGTTCATCTAATCTTAACATCCCAAGCTACACAGTTGGTAACTAAATCATACAATCTATTTAAAATAGCGTTAATAAGATGCACCATCATTCTAATTAAAATACACCTTCATCTAAAGTGCAAGCACTAAAACATCATTATATGTTTCTCGCAAAATAAATTGGTTAAAATGATTTTAACCAACAATTCGTACAAGTTTGAATCAAGATCATTAACCTCTTGGTACAATGCATTCACTTCAATTTCTATGTTTAAGTAGTTGAAAGACCTTGTGAAACACAAACACACACACACACATAACCACTTAGGTCTCTTTTCGCAAATTTCATACAATAGACAAAAATCTGTTCACCACGGCAGCAGTATAAAAGTTGGTCAACAAAAGCGTGATGTTTATGGTTTAATGACATGTAGACATCATTACTGAAAACGTTGCACCACGAATGGATTGAAAAGATACAAGTACAGGGAACTTGAAAGCTTATTCCCCAGAAATTGCAGTGAAAACTCAGTTTGGCAAACAGCCAATCTCTGACCCTTACATTGCACCTCCCTTGGCACTTCAGCCAATCCTTGCAGCCAGAGCCTTCAGTGCCGGATATCTAACCTTAGACAATCTCAATAGAAGAAACCCAGGACTTTGCCTCCTACGTTCTTACGCCTGGCCTCATCGTGATCCATAATACCAGCTGAGGTCGTCAATACAATGTAACCGAACTGCCCCAAAAAAATCACAAGTCCATGAGAAGATATGCTCTTCCAATTCGTGGGTTCATTGACTTGTTGCCAAGACAATAATGTGAATGCCAAATACAGAAAATATGAAACTTCGACAGGTTCGTGTGGACATTGTAGACAACAATCTCATTGTGATCCAAGATTTAGGATAAACCAAACCGCAAGAATGAGAGAAACTAGACGCGCAAAAATCAGCCGACAAAAACTAGTCTACACTTGAGTATCAGAATATGGAAGAATATATGAAAAACATTAAACTAAGAGTGCCATGAAATGCATCCAAAAACGAGATCTAACCCCTACGTACATTTGTCTGCAAAAGTGGAAAACTAAGTACGCAGCAGAATATTTCAGCATGTGAAACTGTAATTTGAAGGTGACCTAAAATCTTTGTAAAATTGCGCATTCAATGATCAAAATTGCTTGACAAACACAAACCTGACGAGATGGTAGGAGCCGGGCAGTCCAAGCTTCGAGCTCACCAACTCCAACGTTGTAACGAGGACTGATGACACCGCACTTGTTCAATCTTCCATTGAGCTCTACCACAATCTTGCCAGCTCGGTGGTCATCAACAAGCTCAAACTCTCCAATATAACCTGAAAAGAGCCAAAAGAGAGAAAACGATCCGCTATCAATGCTGCAACTTAGACGCGAAGATAAATAGTTTATTTTCGTAGATGAGAGAGAGAGAGAGAGTCCATTTTCCATTTGTCGCACTAAAATTGCAAACACTTTGGTGATTCTGATCCATCGAAATAGTTCGACCAGACGCACTGCCTAGCTCCAATGGCATACACACATACGGAGCTGAATAGGCTAAGGTTTCCGAAGAACTAAATGAAACGGAGATAAATAAACAAATGTATCAACGTCACCTGAAAGGAGCACAACGAGAAACCCTAAGCCCTAAACCTGAGAACCCGTAATGCCCAACACTCGTAATACTCCGAGCACTGTCATCCACTGACCCAGTACAAGGCACGCCTGCACGAGTAAGGGGGTTTAGATTATAACCACATACCGTGCTTCTGCATCACGGACAGGAACTTGATGACGACCTTGGAGGAGGGGCGGATGAGCACTTGGCGCTTGCCGCGCTTCTCCGCGTTGAACATGTTCTTCAACGCATCGTTGAGAACGCTAATTCTAACCATGATGGGCGGACTGTGCCAGACAACCAACACCGGCAGGCAGGGCAGGACGGGTGGGGGGGGACGGAGCTCGCAGAGCCGGGGAGGTCGGGGGCGAGAGGCGAAAGGAGGGTTTCGATGCAACACGCGCACTCTTGTGCGGGAGAAAGATGACCCGCCAGACCTAAATGGCCACGGTTCGGGCCAGCCTTGGTGCCGAGGCGGAGTTCAGTTCGGCATGGGTTCGGACCCTGGGCAGTTCTCTGTCGCTAGACGACGGATTTGTTTGTTGAGAATGAGTAGTTTGAATGAGGCCGGAACTTCACTAATTTATTATTTTTCTCCTTTCGTTCAATTTGGTGAGGTGTATTTATATTTTACTGCATATATATATATATATATATATATATACACATATATATACAAATTGATTGTACATATATATACAATCATGTCATTGGATTTGTCTACAAGAATATTTTCCATACAAATATAAGCATTAATGTGTGCTAACTTAAAGCACAATTTCCATGATATATTATTTTAAAAAATAAATTGCTTTTGCAACACTATCAATACATTCATATATGTAGGTTTACAGTTTAACACATAGAAACGTCAAGTAAAATATACACAAAGTATACGCGAAAAAATGTAATAAAACGATTGCGAATGGAAGCAACTCGATTCTACGTGTTTATTTTGCGTTATAATGCCTTCGTCTGTAAGATACATCATGACCACTTACTTTGGTTATCCGTAAAATTCCATGTACCACAAATGTCGAATTCCGTTTTTACATGCTTCAAAATCTTTTTTCTCAAGCAATTGTATCTTTTTTGAAGGTCTCTGCATGTTACTAGATTCTTCTATAATCCTTTGAGAAACTAAAACAACTACCTATTCCGTACTTTCTTTTAGGAGGTTATAAGGACTCATGGACATCGAACCTCAGTTTGACAACATTTGATTACATCAAGAGAACAATATATTATGAAGCAATAATGGGTTGCTCAATGTGAAATGACAGGTTCAAGGGCTTGTGGATGACAACACCCACTTCTGGACTCCACACGACAGCAAGAAAGAATTAATGGTTTACATTCATTACCACCTAAATCAAAACTGTTGCTGCTTATCGTATCAACGAATCCAGCACATGGTCAATGTGCATAACAATCTACTGTCCCCATGTCTGAGGAGTTCAGAGAAGCCGCAAATCTTGACAGCATTTCCATGTGCCTGAGGATGCATGCTGAGCGGATCGATTGCGCACGCCAAAATCTTTCTAGTATTTATACATACCACCACCAGGGGGAGGAGGTGGTGGGGTTCGAGCCGGTGTGCGACGACTGGCGCCCACATCACCATTTTCGCTGCCGATGCTCCGTGATGATCGGCCATGCATGGGAGATTCGTTTCTAGATGATCTTGAAGGTGACTGAGAGTGGCTGGACCTACTACCTGCCTCCTGAAACGCTACCCGCCAGTCCTCTGCTCCTGGTAGGCCACCGTCGGATTTAGAATCCGCTGCAACCAAAGAAAAAGAATCTTCGTCAGCTCGCACATCTATATTCAGAGACAAGTTAAAAGTGCTGGTCCCTATGTATTCGAATAACAGAAGCTTACAGTTGGAATCGTCAGTAGATACAACAGCCGCACGAGCTTCATGCAAGCCTAGTGTCTTGGTCAATTTCGCCAAAGCTGCTGACTGTTTGTGAGCTCTCTCCCGACGCGTCTTCACTTCTTGATCCTCCATTAAGAGCTCTTGAATTCTTGCAGTAGCCATACTACTGAAATTCATAAAAAAAGTTACATACAAAGGAGTGAGAACCACAAAAGAGAAGAACGAAGAGCAATGTTGAGAAATGCCATGACGTTCTATATTCTCAGAAACAAGGAACACAATTATGCCGAGCTACATTCCACTCATCAATATACCGCACCTGATGGAGCTGTAAAGCTGATTCAGCATAGCATCCTTTGCTCTCTCCACTTGGCAAAGCACTACCGCCTGACATATCAAACATTGCGAGCAAATCGCTTAAGATCGATCATGCTCATCAACACCACAACGGAAACAATCTCTACTACTAAACGGAATCATGAATGAAACTAAAAACAATATTAACTGATAAAGTACTTACTTTGGGAACATTAGCTGCTAGACTGTTCAACACCGCCTCAACGTAATCTCGAACTTCCTGTGCCATGAGTCTTAGATCCTCTTCAGGGTCGGAAGGCCGCCGTAATACCGTCGACATATCCTATTGTCCACCCAAAAAATGTATGTCAGCACGTGACCAAGGAACAACGCCCTGCAACTTTTGAAAACGGTAACATTTTGAGATTAGCACAAAAATTTCCGCCTCCACTTACTGAAGACGCCGCAGTTGATCCTGAACGTGCAGATGAGTTATTATCCGAATCCTTCGAATCCTTCGAAGCTTTAGCTGAATCTTTGGAAGATTTAACCGGTTCCCCTTGACTTGAAGATTCAATACAAGCTCTGATTTTGGACATCCATTCAAGCTTCTCGGCCATATTTTCAGCTCTCAAATGGACTGAGTGTTCAGCTGCCAGTTCCAGACGTTCCACAAGTAGTCAGATAAACGTTCAGGGGCCGATACGAAAATGAGCCATCGAGAGTCAGCGCATGAAGCCAAGTTGAGAAGACAACTCAAAAAAGAATTCAAGATTATGCAATCACAGTGTAAGTTAAGAAGGACATCTTTATCTGAGTTCTCGCCAAGTTGTTAACATTATCTAAGTAGTGCTTGTGCATATTCAAAACATTAAAACAAGATCAGGGCAGTTGTATCCAAAGCAGTGACTTGATAGCTATATTTAAGAAAGTATTAGAATAGCACCTTTTAGGACTGTCTTGTACGCCACTTTATGACTAACTCTGAAAATCAGGCTGGCCATGGGATCTTCTTTCTCTGCAGTGCCATTAGATGAAGATTTACTCTTGGATGACTTTCCATTGGCTTCCTCAGCTCCAGTTTCCTCAGGTCCATCCTCCAGCATACACTCTTCTAAAGGAATGACTCCTCGGAAACTTCTTTCTTCAGGCTTTTTGGTGTACGCTAGCTGATGAAAATGTGATACAAAGCATTACTATTCAATATGCTAAGGATTGAGTCAATTTTATCATTCTATATTCAACATGAACTCACATGTCAAATACAATAGATAAAAACATCTGTATAGTGATGATAACTTGAAAATTGAAACTAATACTTACAAGGTCCTATACAAACGAGAAAATCTATGCAAACAAAGAAACCAAACGAAGTATGACCATCGTAAGATCGCAGTTCTCAAGTCCGTTCATCCTGTCGGCATTCATTACTATTGTGTGGACAGACGGATACCTTGCCCGTCTTCTCATTGAGAACAAACCAGCGCTTCACCCATTCGTTCTTGTCACTTTTCTTGTACAGGTAACCTATACAAGACCAAAGACGATGTTCTCACAATGTCCACGTCTCATGCAGTTTTTAAGAGATTCTAAATAAATTCAAAAAACCTAACGTCAACAAAGTAACACGGCACAATACAATTAGAAGCCATACCAGCACTATTGTCACCGACGGTCTGCAACACAGGTGGGGAATCTTTCTTAGGTTCCTCTACCTTAGTATCCTCTTTCTTGGTGCTAATCAGAGCAGTTGCCTGCACATCGCTCAGTCCGATTAGAGCAAATCTGGATCGCTTCACTTAATTCTCAGAGTCGTTGAAACATTTGGAGAGCGGAAATGTCTATCATCAGGTTCTGATTACCGTAAATCTTCGGAAAAAGTACTGATGATACAAAATTCTATTGAATACAGAATGTCATATAATACAGGCATGTCTGTAAAATATAATATAGACGTCAAAATAAATTTTAAAGCACAGAATAAGGACCCTATAAATGTGCCAGGTGCCTGAACGTGCACATGTACGGACTAGACTGTATTAGTGTACCAGGACGATAGTTCAGAAGGCAAAGCTAGTTCCACTTCATTATTGAAGAGAATTGTATATGAGATTGTAGTTGCATGATGTAAATGCATCCTGCAGTGATCGAGGCATACTGATGAATGAAAAATAAAATAAAATAAAATAAAATAAACTCATAAAACGCACCACTGAGGTATACGAACGAAGTTAATTCTACTGAAAAATATGCCATTCAAAATCCACCGAACTAATTGAAACACCCACCTTACTCAGTAACGACTGCTCTGCTACTTGGGCTTTCTTTGTCTGCGCTCCTTGTAAGGTATCTAATTTCTGAGCTCTTTCCATCCTATGTACACAAGGCGTTCCCAAAAATCCAGCCAAAGGATTATACCGTGTCAGATGATACTGTCCAGTAAATCGAGAGTAATGTTCCAATTTAAGAGGTCCAGGTACCTGGAAAAACAATGAGGAAAGTTGTGTATTACCTGCGTTGCACCAATCTGATAAAATGTTGCGGTGGAATAAATACGCGCTCCATATCAACTAGGGCAACAGCCATTTTCTTGGCTTCAACTCTGTACTCTTCCAGAGCTGCACTGGCGATTGATACAATCTGAAAGACATAACGGCCTAATTAGTAGCCTGAGATATGAAATCATATAACATAAAAAGAGCACACTATGAAATGACCGATGAAAAGCACCATTGCAGAGAAACAACTAGAACAAGCAAACAAGTACCTCTCTCTTCAAGGGTGGATATCTTGACAGACCAGGAGTTCCGCTTGCAGAAGCTGATACAATGTCAACCAAAACACGATGGACCTGCATATCCCAAGATGTGGTCATAAGTCTTAAGAATATTTCCGAGAAGCAATTAGGGATGCATAACCAAAATAAGGAAACCCTATAATATCAGTACGATCTAAACTGACTAGACTAGCGACATTGAACACCTCAACGCAACGCAGAACAGAAAGTTGCTGAGACAATCGAAACCAAATAATCACACCTCATCCACACAAGATTTTGCTGGTTCTTTGGCCAATTCTAGCGCCTTTTTAATGAGTGCTCTTAAACCTTTTTCAGGTGACAAAAGGTATGGTTGATAACCATCTGCTTCAAGTACCAACTGCACCAATAAGACAAAGGGGTAATAAGTCAGTCCATTCTGCTCGTCCATAATAAACTGTTTCACACAAATACAAATGTGTTCCCGAAATTCTTTGTGCGCCATACCTTTTTTATGCTGCTTATCTCAAACATCTGATCAAGCGGCAGACCCTTCATCCTTTTAGGCAGTACACCCTCGAAACTTGCCACAATTTTCCAGCCTTGCCCCTGTTCAGTCATAGTACATTAAATTATCGGAAATAAAGAATTACTAATTCGTGAAAGTTAACATACATAAACAAATGATATGCGACATGGGACCTTGAAATTGGATGCATTAATCTAGAAAGGCAAATAGACAAATGAGTCGGAATTAAGCTTACTTCTCCAGTATTGATGTGGGCTAAAAACTTATCTTCGAACTCCCGACACAACTCCAATGCAACTGCGACATTTCCTTCTGAGCTAGTTACTCTTAGTTCCCCAAGCCTTGCTAACTCCTCCGCTACCATGTGTGACTTCCCCTCCAACCTGCAGAATTAGGACATCTAATAAGTACAGGTTCTAAAACATTGTTCTAAAACTGCGGAAAGTTACGAAATAGAGGCAACTTTACCCAGAAAGAAGGTTCGGAATACGTTGCTTCAGTCGTGACTGGATTTTACTGGCCAAGGTTTCCAATAAGGCTATCCGCCCTAATTTTGCTGATGGAGCACCTTTCAAGATAGTCTTCAAGGATTCCATTTCAGCCTTCCACGCTGTGTCCAACGAATCTTCGGGACTAGAGTGAGCGGCTGCTATAGACACTGACTGGCCGATTAGAGCTACCCATGGTATGTCCTGAGTGTTAGAAGGGCCTTGTCCAGAAATAAGAGCATTCACAGCAGCTAAGCTCCTCGGGTCGGAAGCTGCTTGGTCAACTTTGCTGATCACACCAACGGTCCGCGAACCTGCACAAAGGTTACTTGATCCCGGTAAGTACAATTACACGTACACCTAGCAAACCACACTCCCTTCCAGTGTTAAACCTTCAATTTTCACTTCAAAAAAGAATCACAAAACTTACACAACAAATACAGACTAAAACCCCACTTTCAGCTCACCATCCGAGTCTAACTCTTGAGCCAGTTTCAAAGCACGATTCACAGCCACATCTCGACATGACGTAGCAGCTATCACAACGAGAAGTATGGTATCATTGTTGGCAGCCAGGTCGTGAGCCTACAAAAATGAGTCACGAGACCACAAAATGATAAATCTCTCGATCACAACAATATGATCAAAACTTTACTGATGGCATATTGACGGTAACAAAAAGGATCAAATGTGACAATCAAAGAAAAAGTGGCTGTTGCATCTGGCCCTAGCAGGTTAGAAGCACGAGAGATAGGGAGAAGTTGGCCACTCACAGGTGAATCATCAAGTGAACCCCGAGAGTCAATTCCTGGAAGATCTATCAACTTCAAAGGAGGACCTGCGCTCCACACGACTCAGAGGTATTATCAGTATCTACATTGAGTCTGGTTTTAACTTCGACTGCGGTTATCGTGTCTGATATTCTGTGTATTTCTTGTGAGAAGCGATGTCCCAGTGGAGAATCTATGCTGTTATTTTGAAAACTTCACTTAATTTTAACGCTTCACCAGATCATGAAAAGCAGACTAACAGCCTCGTAGGCATTTACCGATGATACGCAAGCCACAAAAATAATAAACATTCAAATCATTCAGCTAAACGAAGTCTTCAGACGCTAACAGAAGCTACACGACCACACGCCACTTACCCGAATTTGAGCGCAGGGTGAGACGAATCCCGTCACCTCTACTCTTTGATGAACTGACACTTTTCAAACGCCCTTGAAGTGAGTGCCTAACATCACCTGTATCGTATCGCAGTCAGAAACAGTGTCAGCCACTTTGATTCAACTGACCGCAAATGAGAAGATTATGTACAGTAGAATCTTACCAGAGGTAATATGTTTTCCTATCCACACAGCAGAGCCTAATGCAAAATCTAGTCATTCTTTAACGTCACTGAACTTACTGGCAGATACATTTTGAGTTCTTCCTTCCAAAACAACGGCCAACCCCCCTGGTCTACCAGATTTATCACGTTCCATATCGATAATGATTGGAGCACGAGTAGCACCATTTTCTCCAGTCGGCTGAATTTTTTCAGATTTCAAAATAAAAAAGCAAGTAATCAGCGCGCCAGTTTAATTCAAGTGGCAAGAATCATTGTGATGCATGACGTATCAAACAGGCCATCTCTGAAACGTCAAGGGCATCGCTAGGTTAAAATCAAACGCAAAAAAAAAAAAAAAAAAAAAAAACGCATAAAAAATCATTCGACACTCAAAGTGTCGAGGACACAAGAGAGATATTGCATTTCCTTAAAATCCTGCGATTAATCCCACTATCATCATAATTTATCCTAGGCGCTCCAAATAAACCAACACTATTGTGGTAAGACAAACCATACCAGTACAGGATGACCGATGATGGTGTTCAGGACCGCTGACTTTCCTGCACTCTGTGTTCATGAAACACAAAGCAATAAGCACACAGAAAATACAAAAATCAAGTAGCAATACTATGTTTTCCTGCATTGAGGATTGCAATCCCAATTCTGATCACAATGAGTTCCGCGAATTCCAACAGAAAGTTCCTAATCCACGACGCTCCTCTGAGAAAACCACCTCGGATTGTCATTCCGACGAAAACGGGGTGCTGACATTAACACGTTCCCCTTAAATCTCAAAGAAATTCATGCAAAAACTAGCTGTATAAGTTCCGTACATTGGTATATTGCATCATTGATCAAACAAGAAGTTCACTATTCTAACGCTTGCGATGTCGTGAAATCAACTAAAGCACCCATCAGCAATGCCAACTGTTGACCAAGAATTGAGTGGTTAATGTTCGAGTTATCTGAACTCCTGAATCCAATCAAGCCCAGCATCCTCACGCCCAATCAGTCTTATAACCTAGTCTTTCCGCAGGAATGCACAGTGTCGCCTGCCCAGAAACTACGTAAATGTTCTCTAAAAAATACACTTGTCTACTTGCCTGAAATTATGAGGCGAGCACCTGTATCCTATATTTCGCACATTCCTCCCACTGAGATTCAGAACCAAGTCGGATGATAATTTACACAAGCACGCACAAACTTAGCTCTCAAGAAAGAACAAAGGTGAAACAAGCCCAAGACAAGCATAGCCTTTAGTAAACCGACACTGATGGATCGAGAATTGTAAACTAATTGTGATTCTGGACTCTATCTGCCGTCAAACCCACCCTCCTCTCTCCCTCCGCGATGCCTTGTTTCAACCACAACAAGGCGTAACCTCAAGACCTCACTCGGGATCTTAACGATAAAACTTGTGTATAAGCGTTCAAGCACGCATCACGATGACCTAAATTTACGCGGACAAAATCCTTCAACCTGGTAACCAATGATGAAGAACGTACCACACTCCCTAGTGCGATGGCACTGAGAAACGACGTCGACGCTTTGGGAGCATCGCCATCCTCGTCCGCCAATATAGCACCGGCTTGCGACATTGTGTCGGCAAGAGTGATTAAATTGTCCATAACTCCCACGAACCGCTCCGTCGCTGCTTTGTTGTCCCCCATCCTAATAAAACAGGCCCGATCGACACAATCTCTCTCTCTCTCTCTCTCTCTCTCTCCTCACTACCACTCCACTCTGCACTTCCGCCTCTCACCCACGATCCTCGCCGTCACCCCCCTTAAACTTCCACACTGCACCTCGTCTCCACACCAAGACCGCCAGGAACACAACAGCTTACAATCCACCACCCTTGCACCCTAGGGCAACAATTCAAGATCCGACCAAGTCTCGAGACTCCCCGACTAACTCACCACCTGCATCACCATCACCGTGAGTTCTAGCCTCAAAACCACCATCCCACCAGGGATTAATCACACGAAGCCCGTCGATCTCCCCAATGCAACCATTTCCCCCAGATCTAAGTCTCCCCGTTTCTCCCTTCCGCTGCCCTTTCAACTTATCACCACCAATCTCTCAAATAATGTGCCTCCCCTGATTGCTGATCTCGCTAGAATCCAGGATCTACGGAACAGCGATTCCGAGCAACCCCTCGGTGAGAGACTAGGTAGGCCGAGTGGTGCCGAGGGCGAGGTGGAGTGGGGAGGGGTGGGGTCGAGGGAGGGCAGGCGGGCCGGCTGGCTGGCGATGGACTCGGCCTCGGGTCTGTGGGTGACTGCAGAGCAAATGAGTAACCCAATCTTCGGAAGCATTGTAATGAAGTGGTAGTCGATCGATCCACAGCTGGGCCTAGTCCCACGGCTTTACCCAAACCGTGTTAATATTGGCAGATCTAATTCATCCACCCTTTACCACTCGGTCACCTACGCCGTTCATAACCTTCGTCGCAAATCTGCGCCCGCCTCACTCACCACACCGCGCATAGTGCCGCCGGAGGTGGTCCTCGGACGGCTCCTCTACTACTTCCTGCCGTTTCTCCCCTTCCTTCCCATGCATTGCCTCTGGCTTCAGCAGGCTCAATACATGGCGCATTAGGGTTTCGTGGATACTTCTCTCGGCGATTAGGTGGCGCGTGCATTGATAATATTCTTGCGTTGTAGTTCTTATTTTGCACTCCCAAGCAAGCGCGTGGTCATGGTTGTAATTTTAAGTGTGTCTCGTAGTTTGCTGCATGGAATAGTCGGAATCTCAAAGACATTGTCGATGGACCAAACAGTCGGGATGCTCTCCGAGCAGCCGCCGAAGTAGTAGCAGCAGCATCTGGAGCTGCGTTAGCAACGTGGGATTTGATCGCGGTTACTTGTGATTGTTCTCCCCATAGTTTTTGACTTGTTCGGAGTGCTCTTGTGGTCTAAACTGACACTGTCTTCTTGTGTGAGCTCTATGATTGACTGTCGCTCTTACAGAACCGTTTTGTTTCCCATGTAGTGGATGATTATGTACACAGAAGTGTCCTATTGTATCATCCGTCATGTTTAGTCTCATGCTCACATGGCGTCCATTTTTAATGGACTTGTTTAGATGGGCCTTTGACTTTTGGGGTAGTTCAAGTAAATTTTTTAAAAATCGAAAAGACGTGTGTTTATTACTTTTTGGGATGTGATGGTAAGTGTGTATAATTGTCCAAAATTCGATGGTTTTTTTCTTTTGCTTTACTGTTCTTTTTGGGAATTGGGCGCTTGATATTTTGGTGGATGCCACCAAATAAATACATAGATGTTCACGATTCTGTATGAGTAAATTTTGATATCACTTTTGATACTAGAAAAATAACCATCTGTGCTTCTCTCAGTTTTTGAATTAGGGTTATTACAGTTTTATTGCAAGCAATTATCTCAAGTCTACTGGACATGAATAATATGATTTAAAAAAGGTCCATTTCAACATCCATCTATGAAGATGGAAACATACGTGACGTTCCGTTGATCCAAATGCAAATAATTGACTCAACTTGGATGAATGATGTACTTACGATGGGGGGGACGAACGTTTTCGCATTCATCCAAGACTATTGGAAGCCTTCCCGAAATCCTAAGGGAGCTCTGGATGTCGAACTTCGACATCGGATGTCTTGGAAATCGACCTCATTACGATAAATTGTGTTTCCTTTTAGAGTTTTGACGAAGCAGCCTTGGCTCGCATGACTATTTCATGTCGATTGCAGTGAACTGCTGAATCACTTTTTCTTCTGAAATCGTCTGGAAGTTGGAAATGTAGTTTTCTTTGAGTCGTCGAGTGTTCACCAGTGTGTTCGTAGAACTCGTGGTTGCGAATGATCAATCGGTGCGGTATGGGAGAAGCACAATGATTTACAGCTGAGGAAAGAAAAAGAGGTTTCGAAGCTTGATGAGGGTTGAGGTTGAATCTGAAACCGCCGTCAAAGCTATGATCGCTGAAGAGGCTTCTTTAAAGGAGATTGGCCTGTCTCGTTCCAGGTACTCCATTTATTTAGAGATGATTTGGAGCACCCGGATAGCGTCAGGGTCGAAGCGTCTCGATCATCTTGGCATGCTTTTTTCCGTAGGACAAGGATGTTGGGGTTAGCTTCTTTTTTCTAACACCAGTTTTGAGGAGAGGTGGTATTGCTTTTGTGTCAAATCTGTCATTTTCGTTATGCAACTAGGTGAGCTAAAGCTCTCTTCTCTTGCATCAATTTCTCAGGCAGCTTGAACAACGATAATCTGCCCGTACTTGCTTAGTCTGCAACTTGAGAATCCTACACGGGAGCTTATTTTTATAAAGATGGCCAGTTTGGAGTGTTATGCAAAACTCAATAGCACAACAGCTGGGTCAGTCAGCATTAGTTTATTCAGCGAATTAGGCACATATGATTTCCCATTTATCATTGTGTGCAGAAGAGGAGAAGATTTTTTGGTATTGGGAAGTTGCGGGCGTATCTTACGTTTTCTAGAGTCAATATCCAGGAAAAAGATCGCAAAAATATGAGAGGCTTTACGAAACCGTTTCATTAACTTCTATATAGATTCAACCCAACAATTCACTTCCTTCTTCTGCAACTTAATCGGGCTTCACTGTTCTCCAAGGTCGACCCGAACTACGACTTCTTGACAACTTATTTGTTTGCTGTTCAGTGATTGTAGTTGTGAAGTCGATGCTTCAAATGGAAAGCTAAAACGGAACTCACCAAGCGGTTATTCTAGCAGGCTCCGCTTCTGTAGGATTATTCACATCTGAAAGTTTTTTTTAGCTCCAGGCCTCTCAACAAATTGATTCTGTAAGAAAACTGCCCGGTCGTTGACACCCATTAAAGAGTAGAACGGAGACAGTTTCATAAGGAATTTAGTTTTAGATTACATAGAGTTGATTGCTACTACGGAATTCATATTGGTAAGTGTAGCTTATACCAGATCTGAGAAATTTAAACGAAGAAGTTTCCAGATACAACTACGGGACTTTCAATGCAGAGACAAATCATTGGACATGGTCCGCAGTAGCAATCCGACATTTTTTAACTTTTACATTCCATGCTCGAAATCCCACACCCATATCTTCGCAATTTAGCAGCCTTTAGTATACTTTCCACACTTCAACGAGTAAATCAACAGAAAAGAACAGAACATAATCACAAATGTTCAATTACGTGGGCAAGCGTCGCACAGCTGCTACAAAATAGGGCACAGTATTTCAAAGCTACCCAATCTGTTGAAGCTCATTTTCAATTTTTTGAAGTCGATCATATCTTCCTGGACACGCAACTAATAAACTTGGCAATGGTGACAAATAAATACCAGTAAGATGATGATTCTAAATCTACAACTGCTGCACAATCGAATTGCATTGCAGCGTACTTATTAGACATATCACAATGTACCTTGTTCATACTATGCACACTATACAAGGTAGATGAAACAAATTCATCTGTTAAGAGACTTATGTGAAGGTGTCTTACCAAGTGCCTGGCTCCCAAACCATGTAAAGAAATGTTACATGACAATGATCATACGTGATTCAAATTCTTGGTCACTTGCTGCCTTGGTCACTGATCATTGATGCCTACCTCATATCTTAAATATGAATTTTTCGAGTTCAAGGAGGAGATTTTCATCCACCATAAACCTATAATCATTCGCCTGTAACAGCATGCTCCACTTGACAGGCAAATAGTGAAGCATTATGCAGCTAGTGGTTCTTCTATAACTGCAAGCACATGTACTCTTGGTTATAAGCCTGTTGGTAAGTATTCAGTAAGGGACTTTAAATAACGGCAAGACTCACGAGAGATCATTGCGAATAACGAAAAGTAGAACGGATTGGTCCCCTTCATACAAGCAATCATCACATGGGAGGATCACAAATTTGACCACTTATCCATAATAACATCGAGAGCATATACACATTTGCAGTGAGAAAACTGAGTATATGATTTAAGTTCTGTTTCTAAGATTCATCCTGATAAGGTTGGATCCGCTGTTAAATATGTATTAGTTATAATGAAGTTGCTCGAGTGTTTCATGTATGAACAGCGTCTTTACCAGAAAAAAATGTTTAAGGCACCATTCTCTCAAGAAAACACAAATGAAGGAAAAAAGAAAGAAAAAATAAAAAAAAATAAAAAAAGAGTAAATATTCATCTCTCGTTTCAATCTCAGTGGGAGCGAGCCAAACCGGCCAGGTTTGAGAGGAAAATGCAGAAATTGACACATTACCTCGAGTTTTACTTTTCGTCTTTTGAGGAGCTTCTTCTTGATTCTTTCTAACTGGTGAAGTTGGAACATCAGGCAGATCCAAACCCTCGATTTCTTCATCATTAGCTTCATGATCTTGAGAATACTCTTTTCTATTCTTTTCATTCGTGGATGTCTCTGCAAGCTCCGCAATTGGCTCCTTGATGGGCTCCTTGACGGGCTCCTCAATGTCTTGTTTCGAAGGTTGGCTAACTGGAAGAGGAACATCTGGCATATCTTCGGTTGCCATCTACCAAGACAAAAAATCGCAAAAGCGCTTTGAGTAATCAAGTTCATCTAAGTCAACACCCAAGCAATGTCGAGCAATGCACAAGCATGCAATGTATAAGTTATCAGATTGCTTAGTAATCCAAGAAATCAGGGACCGTAGTAGGCATCGCAATATGAATCCTAGTCTTGAATGGCAAGGACAAGAAAAATGAACCTATTTCTTTCCAAACAGAAATTGCCGAAGTTTGAAACCGTAACACAAAAGCACAAAGTAAAGCCGGTGAACTCACTAGTGTCTCAAGTTCGTCGAACTCAGCCATCACAGCCTCCTCATCTTCAGCAGACAATTGTTCACCTAATGCCGCGTTTAATTCCTGAACCATACAAAGTACAGGCTTTAGTGAAACACCGCCCGTATCATTCAATAGGTAGCAACTAGGTTAGAAACCCTAAAAACTGGACGTCGACCGTAGAGTGCCGTAGAAATGGTCACGGTTTTAGAAACGAAACACAAAGCTACCATGTTCTTCATAATGATGATCACAAATTCAGAACGGAGAAGTCTCCAAGTAACGCATACCTCCTGGTAGGCCTGCGCCTCCGCTGTGTCGTCCATGAGCTTCTGTACATCCTCCAACTTAACCTCACTTTGCAGCTGCTTGATAGCGCTGTTCCCAGTCTTAAGGCTCTCAAACACAGCCTTCTGCTTGGACGCCACATCTATATCCAAGAGCTGCGAACATCAAGCAAACACTGATTGAGGCAACTGAAATTTCACCAAAATCAGCCAAAGCATTGGGTACCAAAGCAGAAAAACCAGTAGGGACCCAAAAACCTAATAACTCACCTGTTGCTCAACATTGGTAAGCCAGACGTCGACCTGCTTCAACAAATCCTCCTGCACCTTCTTCTTCTTCAAAGCAATCAATGCACGATCTCGGCGTTTCTCCCGCACGAGCTCTCTGGCCACCTCTTTCTCCCTCTCAATTACCGTTTCGAGCTGCTTCTGATACTGTATCAACTTCCGGCGCTGCGTCTTGAGGGACAAAACCGCCTTGTCCACCTCCGTGACCTGGACCTTCTTCTTGACCAAGAGATTACCCATGGCTCTCGACCTTGGCTACGATCCCCTCAATCAAATCATGTGAAAAAACCCACTGGAATTGAGACCATAAGCCGGACGATTTGGGACCGGCTTGGATGCCACACACCCTAACAAAGAGCAGGGACAACTCAGAATACGCGTGGCGTTCTGGCCATTTCGTCTTTCAAGAGCCTTTTACTTCAAGGGCAAGACTACGGTGTGAATATCATCCTTGGTTTCTACACCAGGTCTGGTTATTCTACCCAAATTTGACGCCGCAGATGCTGAATTTATTCCCTAAAATTATAGACGTCGACGCGCGTCTGCGGTGGCGATGATTCGGCTGAAGAATACAAGCTTTCGGAGTGTCACGAGCTGCTACGCTGTTGTCGCTCTCGCGAGATGAGGTACATCTTGGGTTTTTTTTTCGGATCTGCTCCAAAGCCAGGGCGCTTGTCGTTGTGAAGGGTTTGGGAATTGAAATTTGGCGGAGGCTTTGAGAGTTGCGCAAGCGGATTCGGTATTAGGGTGCAGAATTTTGAGTGATAGGCGATCACATGCGACACTTGCTCTGTTAGAATTAGAGGGTATAGTAGACAGGTTCAGCTAGAGGGAGCTGGTCTCGATTCTATGCAGGGAAGGGTGCTTAGGAATGGGGACAGAAGTGTGCACGATGTTTAGGGGGCGCCTGGTTTTAGTGCTCTTTCTCGTTGTTATTTTCTCTAACGTGTTCGTATCGAGCGCTGGATCAAGTTCGCGGAGTTTTCTCACAGAAGGTCTCAATCCGCAAGCCAAAATTGCGGGACAGAGCCGAAGCGAGCATGCATATGCAACTCTTTTGTATGGTGACGAGTTTCTACTTGGGGTGAGGGTTTTGGGGAAGTCCATACGGGATACGGGTGTAACCAAGGACATGGTGGCGCTTGTTTCAGATGGTGTCTCGGATGCCGGTATTCGTCTTTTGGAAGCAGATGGGTGGATTGTTCAGCGTATCGAGCTACTTGCTAACCCTAATTCCAAGCGACCTACCCGGTTCTGGGGTGTTTACACGAAGCTAAAGATTTTTAATATGACTGATTACAGGAAGGTTGTATATCTGGATGCCGATACTATCGTAACTCGCAGCATTGAAGATCTTTTCGAATGCCAGAGCTTTTGTGCGAACCTGAAGCATTCTGAGCGCTTGAATTCTGGCGTGATGGTGGTAGAACCTTCGAGGGATCTCTTTGAGGACATGATGTCAAAGGTGGGGAACACATACTCTTACACAGGTGGAGACCAAGGTTTCCTAAACTCGTATTATGTAGGCTTCGCGGATGCTGAGCTTTTCAATCCGGAACTCTCACCTGAGATTCGGAAAGCTCGCCCAAAGAAAATGGAGCGCCTCACTACTCTCTACAATGCCGATGTTGGTTTGTTCGCATTGGCGAACAAATGGATGGTCGATGCGAGTGAGCTCCGCGTGATACATTACACACTTGGGCCATTGAAGCCGTGGGATTGGTATGCAGAATGGCTACTGGAGCCTGTAAAGATGTGGCAAGATATCAGAGTGACCTTGGAGGAGATCATACCTGGAACTGGGCAAGGCCGTGATCCACGCACAAGTCTGATCACATGGACTCTTTTTCTGATTCCTTTACTAGCTTTGTCCTACATGAAGAGAGCATTGCTTCTTCAGATTCAGAAAGACCTATTCGGCCTTGCGAGCAGTGGGTCTGTTTTCTTCACTTATGCTCGACAGCTATGGTATAAGTACAAGCCAGGAGCTACCTTGCCTACCTACTCTACCTTAATTACCGCCATTCATAGGGATCCCAAAGATGCGAACGGTGATGCAGGGTTGTCTTGCGTAGTACCAAATTATTTGGGGATATCGGCAATTGCTGTATGTTTCTTCACTTTGTTTGGATCTCTGGGACTGGCTGCATTTCTGATTCCCCGACAAGTGATGCCGTGGACGGGATTTCTCTTGACATACGAGTGGACATTCTTCACATTTCTCGTGGTGTTTGCAAAGTATCTCGACTATGTGTATTCCTGGGGAAGAGGCACTGCCACAAAGTCATTGAGTGTTGCTGAAGAGATCAGTTTGTACAGCACAGACAAACTACATTCCAAGAACTCAGTCTCATGGGATACTGAAACGAGCACATACGGTATTGTCACCGCGCTAGTTGCCCTCCTCATCCCTGCTTTACCTCGCATTTTTGGCACCACAGCTATTTTCGCTCGCGCTGGTCTCATGGTATCAGGGGTTTTTCTACTTGCTGTGGTGGCAACCTACTCTGCCGAGAAGCTGGCCGTCCACTGGTTTTTGAAGGGGCAAAATGATTGCAGCTACTTGGAAAGATAGTTTTAACATCTTTTCTATGCTCTATGAATTAAACGATAGTTGTGCAGGTAGTTTTTGGCTAATTATCGATTAACTTAGGCTTCCGTGTTAATTAGAGGCTACGCTTGAGTTTTAGCTTTTGCCAATTTATAGACCTAGATGTCAGATCACTTAGACTAGGCGACCTCTGTTCCTCCACTTTGGGGCTAAGCATCACAATCGAAGATTCACATACTTCGGTTGCACGATTGCGGTGGATGATTGTTTTAAATGGTCTTTGTGCACGGTAGAGGAAACTGGAGAGTTATTTTGGGTTTAGACAGGATTCGGGATGACACAGCCCCGACAGACAAGGTTTGGATTTTTTTTTTCTAATCTCATTTAGGAATGGCAGTTCAGTGTTGTACTGAAGTTGGAGCTTACGAAGTGATTAGGCTGTTCTGGGGAGACTGCTCTCTTTTTACGAGAGATTTCGTTGCATTTTGTATCCTTTACCGTTATCAAGCACGGTGCCGGCGAGACACTGTCAAGGTTGGATAGCACCGGAAGTGCTGAATAATTATGTGAAGAGCTTCATTGACCGTTGGAATCCCTCTTGACATTCGTTCATTAAGTCCGTTTTGCCGGCACATCTCTCAGCTTTCGTATGTCGTGATGGAACAGTTTTTATAGAGTTCCAGGGCAAGTGCACCTTGTGCTCAGCGTAGCGAGCCAGTGCTCCAACTATGATGCAAGACACGAGCGTTGCTTAGATTGTCACAACCATGCCTGAAATGGTGGATTTGACCTCATCGAAAGCCCGATCGATTTTGGTGCGAGTGAAACCACTTTGGAATACAATTCATTCGGTACAAAACGTCAGTGAGAAATGTGTCGACCACATCAAACGGTGCTGCAGCGGGGATCTCAGAGTTCGGCAGTGGGATACCCACCAACAGATTCACAGCTTCAATTTCTCAAGACCTGCGCCTCGATAACCTAAGAAATCTTCTTCGCATTTCTACATGTTAGAGTGCATGAACCTGAATGCCCGATCTGTGTGAGGTCCTACACTTACTCCAATATTACTGCTCTGAACCTCCAGAAGCGATCTGGTGATCAAACAAGATTAGCACAGTCTCTGCGCCATGGTTTACCTCGAAACCCTAATCGGATTTTCGAGGCATACCAGACTGATTGCAAAGGCTGTCCTGCGGCTCAGTTTAGGGTTACCGAGAATCCCGTCAGAGTGTGCATTTCGACGATCAAAATGAAACTTTTGTTCATTCTTTGAGTGAGGGTAAATCCATTTTTTTTTAAAATAGAGGGTTTTGATTGTCCAGCTAAGTAGCCAGGGGGTGAGATAATTGCCCAAGGAAAGATAGTCATATTAATAGTATAGTATCATAACATGTTTGCTATATTGGATCAAAAAAACAAATTGTGCTAGAAAGTCAACATGGAATTCAAACAAATTGTGAATGAATGTAAATATGGAGTTCAAACAAATTGTGCAAGAATGTCAACAATGTCAACATGGAGTTCAAACAAATTGTGCAAGAATGTCAACAATGTCAACATGGAATTCAAATAAATTGACAATGGAGTTCAAACCAAGAGCATATGAAATATGGAACATGTCATTGCCCAATAAAGCTAACAATCATTTTTTTAGCTTTCTAAGTCCTACAAATATTCTTAAAAGTAGGGTTTGGTCCTCTTGTTCATAATTTAGTTAACATGTAGGCAACATACAAGCAACAAGTAGGGCAACTAAATTTTTTGCCTAGATTAGATCTATTGTAGATAAAAAACTAATTTATAGTATTTGTCTAAAATTTTAGTATAAGAGTGTGTCTGAAAAAGTTCCTTTGGAAAGTAATATTTTTAACATTATGTTTTTCATCAACATAGATGATAAAATTATGTTTCAATGAAACTCAATAATAAAAAAAAAAAAATTTAAAACAAATTTATAAACTATAGATAAAAAATATTTTATTTTTCACATAATATCTAAAACTTTTACAAACAAAAGAATATATACAAGGAAATGTTTAAATGACCCACTCATTTACTAAATCAATCCATCCTATTGTAACTATCATTAAAAAAAATAGGATTATGATTGTAATGATGGTCATTTCTAGAAACCATCATTACAATCATAGCCCTTATCCCAAATCCCCTCGTTCTTAGTCCTGCACCCTTCATTCCTAGCCTTCTTGATTCCAACCCCCCATATGCTCCTCCCCCCATTCTCAACTCTCATCCCAACTTCCCTTGTCCTTCCTCGTTTTCCATGATAGGGTGGGTCATTTTATTATTAATAGTGGATTATTTTAACATCTTTCTCTTTCTATATATATCTATATATCTATATATATATATATATATATATATTTTCTAAACAATTTCAAAACCTTACACATAATTATATAATTTTAAAATGTAACATAATTTTAATTGATGTATATAAGTATGTGTGTATGTATCTCTCTCTCTCTCTCTCTATATATATATATATATATATATAATTTTTTTTAATATATATTTTTAAAAATCATAAATTTAAAATAGATATGTTTAGAGTTTTATGTATTTAATCTAATAATAATATTTTCATCTAATAGAAAAAATAAAACTAATTTTTTTGTTTTCCAAAAATAAGATTTTTTTAGTGTATATATATATATATATATATATATATATATCTCTTAATATTTTGTTAATAATTAATATTCTTTAAAATTTTATAATTTATTAAAAAATTTATTGAATAAAAAAAAAAGTTTCATTAATAAATTTTAGACACTATTAAAATTTAGTTAAAATATTATAGTCTAAGAATAAAAAATTAGCTTCAAAGAAAAATTCTAGAATTTATGGCTATTTATTTTATATAAAATTATTTTGTTTTATTTAAAATATTTTATTGAAAATAAAATTATAGATAAACTAACTTAATAGATAAGAAATGTTTTATTAGATGCAAATTAAATAAATATTATAATCTTATATCATGAAAATAATTGAAATTAACTTGTTAGTTTTTTCTATTCTTTACAATAGTTATTTTTGACATTATATATATATATATATATATATGCTTATTTCTTTGCTAATAAAATTAATCATTTTTAGAATTAAATAAATAGTTAATTAATCAAAGATCAAAAATCATGAAGATAATTCAAATTGTATAAATTGGATAAGCTTGATTTACAATAAGAAAAAGAAATATATAAAATTTTAACAAGTAGAAATTCACTTATAAAGTTTTGGAAAAAAATATAAAAATAACAACTATATTCTTTGTCGAAAATCATCAACTTAATGATTCAATCATCCAATCTTTTCATTTTCTTTGTCTATTTTTTTTTTTCTTTTTTCTTTTTTACTTTTTTTCTACGATTTTTTTTCAATAAAACTTGACCATTGATCAAAAATTAAAGATCTATATACATAAACAACAATATTCTAAAATTTTACAAATTCCTTTTTAAAATTAAATCCTTCCTCTAATTCAGTAGCCTATAACAAGTAGAGAAGGTGAAGCTATATAATAAAGAAGGAGATTCATGTGATATTTATATGTATTAGAATCGACTTCAGTTTAAAAAAGGTCTTTTAAGGCTATAATATGGTGTATTGTTTTGAGTTTCATATTTTATTATTATTATTATTGTTAGAATTTTTTTAATCTTTAAATTTAAAATACATAAAAAATATCATATATTATAATATATTATTTTTACTTTGGATTTTTTATTGATCTATAATATAAGTTAAATATAAGATATGTATAAGTAGAGAGTTTTTATTTTATTCATAAAATTTGATGTTTGATGAATATTAGAATTTAAACAATAAAACTTTTGAAGTGAAAGAAATTTATGAATTAAGAAAATCAAAGAAGTGATTTTTTATTGTTACAATCTTACAAAATATTTTGGTCATGCTTATAATATATAAGTGATATAGATAATTTTGACATACAATCTACACTTTATAAAAAAATATTAAAATATTAAAATTTTAAATTAAAAGTTTTTAATATAACAAGATTTATGTAAGTATATTTTAAAGTTTTCATTTATTTATTATTTATATTTTACTATATCTATAATATAATTAATGAGTATGGCTTTATATAATTAATTTTTTATTATAATCTATAAAAAATTACATGTTATTTTTTGTAAGTCTAAAATTTAATAGTGGTTATTTGAAAATAAAAATAAAAATATTTAACTCATAATATCTTCATAATTTGATCCAAAATACAACTATTAAAAATAAAATTAAACATCATATGAAGTGTCATGTTAATATTGGAACCAAGTTGGTTACTTACAAATTAAGCAATTATACCCAATACTCTTGTATTGATTATATTTAAACACTCCTTTGGCTATTCTTCTATCTTCCATGTAGATATAACACATCTTTAAGCAACTAAATGGACATTGTGTGTAGGGCAATAGGATTGGAGCAATATTGATTTTGTTGTCACTTGGTTTTGTCCAATATTCAATAGATGGTATTGAAATAATGGTTATTGCTTAGATTACTGGTTGGGATTCAATAATATGAAAACAAGTAGTTTAGTTGGCAATAGATTGCTCTATGAATAACACAATGCTAATTGCATGCATATATAGGATTCTAAATAGTTGCCACCATTTGCAAGTGTATGTATGTTTTTATAAATCTAAAATATTAGGCAATTGTTCCAACATGCATTCAAAAATAGTATCATATGAAGAAATGATTTAGTATCCATGTGCAAATATTTGTAACCATTTGCTCTCTTGATGTGCACTTATTGACAATAGTCAAGTAATTGTGTTGGCCATGAGATGTCATTCATTGTACCATACTATGAATTGACAATGAATTGTTTCCAACATTGGAATTACTAGCATCTTATATGCTTCTAAAATCCATGAATTTTGAGATTCTATAATATTCAAAGTCATATGGTCAAATTAATTTTTGTCAAACTATGATGATGCCTAATAGTGTTGTTCAATACTTATTAAGTACTTTACAACTTCTTTAGATATACCTCAGACTTTTGAAAGTCTAATATTAAAATTTGAAGTAAGTGATACTTGTACAATTCTCCAAAGATGTCATATAAGCCTTAGATTCTCAAATTGTTATTAGAAATTTTCAACTAAATAATGTATACAATATGCATAATTATATGTTAGAAATATAAAGTTAAAAACATCAATAAAACTTTTTTGGTTGATTAGACAAAAATGTGAACTTTGAAAGTTTGATGTTCGGAGTATAAGATATAAGAATTGATGTCTTGAATTTCTACAAGAACTACAACCAATTTTTGTCATTTTTAGCATTCATAATATTGAATGCAATAGGAAATAATTGCCCTTCTACATCAATTATTGTAGCAACAAGAAAATATTGTGGGATTTCTTTTTTAATAAGTGCCATCTATACCAATGACAAGTTGATGATGTTGCAAGTCATGTAAACTTCCATTGTAAATAATAAATAATTGAAGAAAGCAATTTTTTTTCATTAACTTCTAATTTTGCATAACTTTTAAGATTTGTTGTCTTGATTTGGTGATAATATGCTTTCAAGTTGGTGTAGCTATCTCCATAAGAGCTAATTAGGTCAAAAACAATCTTTTTTTTTTTTTTTTTTTACACCATGCCATTAAGTACAATATTGTAACACCCTCATTGTGTCAAATATTCTTTTAGATATCTACAACTCTATATTGTGGTGTGTCTTTTAATTTGTTCATCACGCTACTCGCTACCCGCTACCCAACTTGTATTAGCATGTTGCTTGCCTATGTGGTGAGCACCAATGCATGTGTGTTCAAAGACAAATGTCCAAATGACAAATTCACTTCTACCTACTGATTGAGATTGTGATGCATGTAATCTCTATTTACAAGTGTTATTGGAACACTCCACAATGTATCTTGTTGGAATGGACTTAATAATGGTTGTTTCATAATGCTTACTAATTGCATCATGACAAATAGCTTGCTTCAGTTTGTTAATATTACTAAAAACAACACTCACAATTAGAAAACTTTTTAACATATGATTTTCGCTGAAAAAGTTCCTGAGAAGAAAAAACTATTCAAGAGCATGCCAATTTTTGTGGATAGGGTGCCAAGCTTCCCTTCTCACTTTGCATGACAAGAGTGTATTAAACAGTAGAAAATGTAGAGCAAAACAAAATTTAGGTTGGGGTGAGTGTAGTCTTTTTTAAGTGTTGTTGGGCCCCAGTTCAAACTAAACTCATCATTTAGCTTGGTCCGCAGGAGCGTTTGGCGTCCATTAGCCACATGTGACGAATCTGAACACCGTCCCAGGATGTAGAAAAGCTATGTCCACCTACTAATACTTCCTGCACATGAACAAGTCAAGCATGTTGTACATGCTGTCACTTCTCTTGGAGGCACATTTTAACTCCAGTAGGGGATTCCATCAAACTGATTAGCTTTAAGTATTTTGCCAACAATAAGATCTAGTCAAAGTACATGTGTTTTTAAGCCCATAGCCATAAATGAAATCTTCTCCCCAACATCCCACAATCATGATGTAGTTTGCGCACACCTGAGAGGAGAAATGAGAAATGTCTTCCACGCCCTCTCAAAGAGTCCACAAATTTTAATGACTTTACAGAACTTGATATTAACCAAGATCACTCCTTGCAAATCCAACGACAAATTTTGACTCTCCGGAAGTAATACAGACAAGCAGAGAGACGCAGAATGGTAGCACTAGATTGCTGCTCTTAATATCTCCAGAAAAAATAAGTATAATCAAGAGAGTTTGTGAGGTCGCATAAAAAGTAGCGATCAAATCCCTCTTACTGTTAACTTACGTCCAATCCTAACTTAGAAGCTAAAAGGGCTCTCACATCCATCATCACATGGGTCTCTATAAACAGACTGAAAAGTCTTTTGTTATGAGAGAGCATATTTCGAGGGCTAAGAAAACTTTGTATAGAAAGATCGAAAGTGGTCTCCTACCACAACCACATTCCTAGCAGTCGCGATGAACTAAGTACAGACCGCAAACATTGAAATGTGATCACTGAGCAAGAACACTCACCGTCACAAATTGTTCTACTTGCAGCTAGTTCATTCTTGTCATTGCTACACTGCACTTAATCATCGATGACACCGATTTCACACATCTTGCCTCAGAGGTTTACAAAAACTCACCACACTTCATCCATCTGTCCTCTCCTTTTGCATCCTTGACACCCCTGCTTAACTACCGCTGTCATATACCACTCTCTAGTTTTCACACCCTCTTGCTCTTCCGTTGTCAACTCAATTTCTACTCGCATTTTCACGTGTGTTCCAATTCAGACCATATTAAAACATGAAAAAGAACAGAAAGAACAATGCTACACAGAAGTAGACAATCTGAAACCAACTACAATCAAGAACTCGGCACACAAGGGGCTTCACCACTCTCTCGCCTGGTGATTGGCAGACTTAATGCAATTGGATTTGACCAGCAATGTAATCTCATCAACACATACACACGAAATTGGATTTGGTGCTTACCAATTCGAGCACGCTTCTAAACCCCCGCCATCCGCACAGCAACTAACAAGCCACCTTGGTCGCAGAAACCAGAACTCACTGAAACCTTGGTCGCCAAAAATAGCACGAGACGAGAACCAAAACTGCCGATGTCCAAGGAGGACGAGATGAGACACACCATATAATATAAAGGAGGAAGTTGAGCAGTTTGCGACGTCCATTTTGGGAGGTGCCGAGGAATTGAGCAAGAGCCAGTGGCGGGATTTTTGCGACTGCAGCGGGGGCGGGGGCGTCCGATTTGCGTGAGGCTCAGACATTGCAGAAAAGTGCCACTTTGGGCACTAGTTCTTACTTAAAAAAACTGGAAAAAGATGGGTTATCACTTCGAAGGGCAAAAGGTAGGGGTAGATTTGATATTATTAAGATTTGAGGGGTATTCTTGATATTTTTGGAAATTTGAGGCGCATGTGTATATTTTTCCTTAAAAAATGTTTATAATTAATATACAAAAGGAAATCACTTATTAAAGATTGTTTTTTGGAAAACATTAGTTTTTTTTTTTTTTTTTTCTTTTTATGTTTTTTTATACATATTGTTTTATTTATTTATATATCTTTCTAGTATTGTTAAATTTAAATAAGTAAAAATAAGATTATATTTATTCTTTTACATTTTAAATAATAATAATAATTATTATAATATTTTACAATCTTAATATATACCATAGATATTAGTATCTATATATACATATATTTTCCTGTATAGGTTTATTTTAGATAGATATTTTTTTACTCAATATGATGTGCTCTTAGAACCTTGTATGTATGTACAAATGTATGTATGTATAAGCAATATTTTTTAAAAGTATAATACGGCTATAATTAATGATAAAAAAAACTCTGAATTTTTAAGGAAACTTTATTAATATAAAAATAAAAATAAATTGTCATTCAATGTTAAAAAACCAACATTTGAAATGATAATTTAACATAGATGTTATTAAAATAACAAATTTAGAATTTTTAATCTCTTATATATATATATATATATATATATATATATATATCAAATACATAATTTATAATTGTAATCAAATGCAATTTTTTTCACTAATATAATTGTGCTTAGATGTTAATATTTTAAAAAAGGATAGTTATAAATTGAAGTATGTAAATATCAATTGGTGATATAACATAATGTATTTACATGGAGCTAAACAAAAGAAATCCAGAAAGATCTTTTGTTGCAAAAAACAATAACAAAAAGTGGGACTACTCACTCAAAGTTTTTAACATTTAAATACAAGAACATGATTCACTCCGAAAGAACTCATTATTAATTTATACAATAAAATAATATGTTAAGAATATGAAATCCACATAATCCAGAAGTTTAACAAAGGACGTGAACAAATCTTTTCATTAATCAAAGTCAAATTTTATTCTTGTCAGCTGTATATTAAGTAGAAATTATTTCACTTCGAATCTAAAATAAGCGACTTTAGATGGTAAAATGTTACTAAAGAAACAAGTGACTTTGTTTATTTTTATCAATCAGAATATTACTTGGACTTCACATGGGAAATCATATGAAATGTCTTCAAAGAATCAAATCACCCACAGTCCACGTTACCGATTCCCGTACTCTAAAGACGATAACACGAGTATATATCTGTGAATATATATATATATATATATATATCAGGCACGTAACCTCACTCAATAGTTCCTGCAACATTGACATCAATCTATATTTGTATGTACATGTATATATGCAAATTAACAAATAAAGGAAGAGTGGAAGTAAGAGAAAGAGAGAAAGATGTAGGTAATGACACCAATGAACAGTCCAGATGCCGAGAAACAGTAAACGGAACACGGTGACAGCGACGAAGAATGGTGAAGCAATGAAGATCATGGCAGCCTGATTAACTCACACACCACGCCATGAATCGGTAGTGGCCATCGTTCAGAAGCATCACATAAAAAGCGTCACAGAAAATCATGTATAATACATGCGAAAACATATAGATCATACCGAAAAACAGTACTTTCTGGGTCATATGACTATGAGCTTGCTGCGGCAGGCTGCAGCCTTCACCGGATCAGACTAACCCAATGCGATCGGGACGATGATTATGTGGTTGTGGTGTGCGCAACAATCAGGTCCACGGGAGGATCCGTGTTGCAGTTTCGATGATCTCAGATTGAGGATTGATGGTCACTCTTCCTGTTTTCGACACAGGGCGTCGTCTGTGTGTCTGACTTGTTGACCCCTCAACTGGAGTTGTTGGGCCAGCTTGCTTTCGGCACCTGATTGCTGTACCCTTCGTTGGAGCTTACTACCATGATTCCCTGAAATCTGAAACTGTGGTATGGACGGCGCATGGGTTCACACTGAGTTTCAGGTAAAGGATTCTGCAAATGCGGGCTAAAGCTCATCTTGTTGCACGCGCTCGAGAATCGCTTATTAGAACATACTTGTCGCGATTATTTTAATTTTTAGACTAGGTCCCCAGGCGATTTGACTTTTGGGTACCCCCCGCTTTCAGCATCAGGAGCTGCTGATAAGTCGCGCCTCCATCCGCTCTGGAATGGTTGAAAACATTCCGAAGTTGACAATGGAGTCTTGGTCGTCTGAACAAATGTGGCCCACAGTGAGACTCGGTGTGAGACGGTTCACACTCCACGTTCAGTACTAAACAAACATTTGTTCGTTTTGTTTACAAGTCCAACCAGGACTGTGTGGAGCTCGCATCGTCTACCCCTCATTGTGCTTATCTTGTCATCTTTATGCACAACCATGTCATCTTCGGATCTATTACCACGCAAATCTGTGATCTATTCTTTTGTTAACGTAACACTGGACTTCCGTGTGCGGTCGTCATTGGTTTCTTGAGTTAATGACCAGATCTAGTTGCGAGGAACGCACTTTCCTTTGACGGTGATGGATGTTACTCAAGAGTTCGATGACATTTTTGAGGCATGTACGTCGTAGATATATTTCGTCATGCGCGACTAGTATTCAGCTGATCAGCGAGGTCCTCCTCGTGACCCTAAACTTTGTGCTATGATAAGCGAGCCTTCAATGGTTTGACTAAATTGACTGAGCTATTGATTAAAAATTTCGGTTCCACACACTGGAGTGCTGGGAATAGTTTTCTTAGGTAGCATTGGGTAACAAACTAGTATCCGAAATTACCTTAAAATAGATCAGTCATGCATGGTAAGAAAAAATTGCTTTATTGGCTCCCGTCACTACTGAATTCTGGTCAAGGCCTATGATAAAACAGAGTAGTCTATGATGATATCATATACATATAGAACTTCATTTTCTTAAAGCATGATCCAACATAATCCAGACTCGACCGAGACGGTACCCAATTCCAACCTTTAATGTGATTTTAGCGGTTTGCAACACTTTTACGGATGCACAAAAGTCTTACTTTCTAATCTGCAGTTCACAGATTAGCATATGAACATGAAATCATAGAACCAACTATACCACTACTTTCACCAACTTAAACAAAACCCGCCTCTAAAGACTACAACCACGGTGTTCGTTTTGATCAAAGGTCTTCCTTTGACAAACTTGGTATGGGTCTACTAATCCTAAACCAAGGAAAGTAAGCCATGGTTCTATGATGATTCAGAAGGTTTCGAAGTAATAACCATATTGAATCATAAGTTAATTCTGTAATGTCTCAATGAATGGGCCTTGATTGGTCCCCAAAGTCAAATATGTCATTGAATTGTTCAACTCACATTGCCTAAAAACAAATAGAATGAAAGATGTACCCACTCTTACCAGTTCCGCAAAGATGCTGTACTACATCGTTTAATTTTTACAAATGAATTATTAGTGAAGATTACAGACTAAATTTTCATGAATCAAGCGTCTGAATCATTGGACGATCCCCCAGACTGTCGCCTACTTACAACAGTCGACAAACCAGGTATAGGTGCTGTAGTCCGGATGGTATTCGAGCGTCTGCAACGAGGATTACTTGAAGGTTCTGGTTGCGAAGATTTTTGCCCCGACTGATCCCAATGTGTGCGACTGGCAAGTCTCATCAGATCAACGAGTGAGAGACCAGGTTCTGCTCGGGCTTGAGGGTAAACCTCCGGATGAACGTTGAGCAGATTCATGGCGAGTAGATCTGAGATCCCGCTTCCTTGAGTGGCGAAGTTCATGAATTCCTGGGTTCTGGCCTGTAACTCCTGCTTCAATTTCATCACCTGGTACACCATCATCATATTCATACTATCCAGAACTGATGGAGGTTGTAGTTGGTGAGGATCAAAGATCGGCCATCTTCGCTGCATTAAGTACCCAAAGTGGTCGGGATATGGAAGTATCGTGTTGATCGGGAGAAGATTCGGCAGTGAATAACCCGCTTGCTTAGCTTGTCGGTTGTTGTGTGGGTTGAGGGAATCCAGCAGAATTTTAGCAGTATTTTGGGAGTGGCTGGTCTTAGAAGAACATGTCTGTTGGCTGATCTTTGGGTGGTGGTGTTCGCCTTCGTAGCTGGCGATGACAAGGCCTCTGTCCTCGACGCACCTCGATACTTGCTTACGAACACGACACCCGGCAGTTGTGCACTTGTAATAGCTTCTGTAATGGTTGCGTCACACTCACTAGTTAGGATAGTGAGAGAAATATTACGCTAGAAAAACTTGGTTAATTTCCCCAAGTGTTTCTAACTCCTAGATTTGTGACATTTCGACTTTGTTGTAAAGTAATACTCCTAATCCACAGCATTGATGGCTCCAACACGATCTCTACACGACATGAGGATATCAAGTTCTCTACCAGGCGGTGATTATAATTATGCAGTTGAAATTAGAACTAGATTTGTATTCAAATCTGGTAAAGCATCCAAATTACCTTGGATAAGGACTGCTCAACACTGTCTTTTGCCCATACTTACGCCATTTGTATCCATCTTCTACCATATCCAAGTCGGTTCTTCTTTTGACGATGTGTCGTGGATCGGTCACCTTCTTCAGACCCTTCTTTTTCTTTGCCCATCTAGGGGATGTTATAATACACACGTAAGCGCAACTGTTTTGAAAAAGTTTAAATTATGGATATGTTTGTATGCAACTCTTAGCGGCGTACAATTAAAAGGCTACGAAAAGCAGTGAGGGTCTTTTTGGTGCAGTCTTATTCTAGGATTTGCAACTTAAACATTGTACTTGAATTGAAAAATATTGAGTGAGAATGTAGAAGCTTACGAGAAATTTTTCCTTTCAATCAAAGGTCCATCATCTAGTGGCGCATCATCCCCTCCCTCTCCGTCATGTGGCAACTTCATGCCATCCTTGCATTCGTCATCTCTAAAACAAGCTGGTTTTAGAGAACCCGTTTCAGTTGTTCTGGAAGGATCACTCACACAGCTCGAAGGCGGCGACAAGGAACTAGAATCGTGTGTCAGTGTTCCACCGTTGGATCCCCTCCTGCAACAGATCTGACCACAGGGAGATGAACAAAAAGAATCATATTTGGGGAAGCCTTCAGTTTTGAGAGAGCCGCTCGGTGAAATAATGCTTTCAAAGTATTGCTGTACCAACGCTGCCAAATCTTCGTTATCTTCAAAACTAGGCGCAACAACCTCTTGAATTTCGTCAGGTCCAGACTTTTCCATCATGAGCCGGTAACTGATAGTCCTCAAAGTCAAGTTCTTTTTCAAGACCTCCAAGTATGAGTCCTCGAACCCCCTGGCAGAGACTGGATGGCAGCCGCTATCTCCGAACAAATCGTCGCTGGTAGAGCTACTGGATGCTTCATCTTTAACACATTTGATACTGCTGTTGCTGCTACTGCTCAATTCCAACCAAGCAAACCGTCTTACGGGATTGATGATTCAGGATGCTAACTGATCAGACCTGGGGTGCTCCCTAGCTCTCAGTCACGACCTGTGCAAGCTACTCTTGCAATGACGTGTGGCTCACGAGAAAACATGCACAAATAAACCATAAGTATGTTGTCCTGTCTGACCTTCACTTATGCTCACATCCTTGGAAAGCGGGAAAATTACTATATTATATCGAAGTCGGCTATCTCTGGTTCTAGATCTGACTGGTTTTTCAACTGAGACGCGTTGACACCGACGTGGTTGCAGTGAGGGCGAGAGAGAGAAAGAAGAAGAGAGCTCGCAGATTACAATGGGAGCTTCACTGCTTCGTCGATCGGTAGCAATTCAAGCTACAGTAAACGCATCCATGGTGGACCTCGACGTGGAGGCGACGCAGCTGGAAGATCAGCTGGGTTCCAGCATAACCATTGACTTGAATTTTGCCCACCTAGTTTTGATATTTGGGCAGCCTGTTCGTTGTGGTGCTTCACTGGTTTAACTTCACTGGTTTCTACGTCCCTTTGCAGACATGATCGATCGCGTGCGACCCTTCGAAATGAGGTCAGCGTCTACCGACTAACGCTGGATGTGTCAACGCTTTGTGCCTGTATTCCCTATGGTTACGATAAGCTTCCTCCTGCTGCGTCATTAGTCCGATTTATATATATATATATATATAAACAAATAAATAAAGTTAAATAGACCCATGCTTTTACTAAATTGACCCACTTTTGATGAAGAATATGATAATCATTATGAACTTGGTTGGTTTTTATTGGTTTTCATTGCAAATCTAATAATGGAGAATTACACCTAGAAATCATTCTTTTTTTTCATGATGGTCAGGATGGGTGGATTGATCTAATAAAAAGATTGGTCTATTCTCCAATACATATGTTATATAATTAAGAATTGCATGTGTGTCATAATTCAATGTTCAATAAATGAAAAAAGTCATATTGTAATATCTCTTACGGTTTTTTATTTTTATTTTTATTATATATCTGTATATATTATTAAAATAGTAATTTAACAAGTTTATGAGTGATTTAGTTTGCAAACAATTAAGATAAAAATAACTATTTTTGTACATTATTGGAGAGTTTTTAATGCATAATAAACAATGATGCATCAATTGTATGGTTTCATAAGTAACCATTTATGTTGGGAAGAAAAGATAAGATCTAAAGACACATTTGAATACAAAGTTGTTGTTGTTATTGTTGTTGTTGTTGTTGTTTTTTTTTTTTTTTTTTTTTTTTTTTAAAATAAATTTTATTCACGTATGTATAATATGTCTTCATTAACTTATATATGATCTAATTATTGTGGAATATTGATTTTTAGGCAATAGAAAAATAAAGTTATTACAAGAAAATAAAATAAAATAAAATAAAATAAAATAAAATCTGAGATCAATTAAGAAGGACTACATTGTTTAGCAATAAGCAAAATAATGTGATACACATTAACTAATAGAATGAAATAAAAAAATTTAGACCTTCTAATAAAAGAAATATTAATGCAAAAAATCAAACTAATCTACTCAATTTGACATAAATTTTTTTAAATGGATGTATGGATTCCACAACCAATCTAATAACACCCAATTCAAACAAATAATTTATTATATACTTTGTAATATTTAAAAAATTATTACTATAAAAATATAATAATTATAAAAAAAACTAAATTTGAAATGATAAGTAATATGAAAATATCATTAAAATTATATATACATATATATATTTACACATAAATATTTTTATATATCACAAAAAAATATTTATACAAAATTTTAAACATTACAAAGTGATTAATGATTTCTTTGTAAAAAATCTATATATATATATATATATATATATATGTTCTAATTAAAATAAAATTATTATTTTAAAATATAAATAGAAGTGTTAAATCTAATAAAGATTATTTATAACATATCTTAATCATTCATCAAATCAAATATGCATTATCCTATGAGTGCCTTATTATTGTCTCTTCTTCTCTCCTTTGCAATAGTATCTTTATAGATAAAGTTCTAAAAGGCAATCAAGCTCACAATACTTCATTTTTATAAAAAAAAATAAAAATATATGACATAAATATAATCTATTTATCTAAAAAAAAATTTAAAAACAAACTTAAAAGACTATACATAGATACAAAATTGTAGTTACCAAAAAACAAAATTGATTTGAACTAAATTATATATGTCATATATCTACAAAAATAATGACTATTCTTTTGATATACTAAAATTTATTTTAATTATATTTTTTTGTAATAAAATTATTACAATTTTTTATAATAAATATTATATTTTAAAATTTTATGTTTAATTTTAATTTTATTCATGGAAATAAATTAACATAAGCATAACAATAGAATTATTTTGAAATGAAGAAACAAAGCTTATTAAAAATATTATAATAAGCTTTTTGATACATATATATATATATATATATATATATATATATATATATATATATATATATATATATATATATATGTTGATATTATTACTTCTATACTAACATATTCAATGTATATTTTTTAAAAAATATTCATAATTAAAAATATATTTATAATCTTTAACTAATTTTTCATAATATTTTTTCAATCAAGATCTTACTTATTTAACAAAAAAAAAAAAAAAAAAAAAAAAAAACTTTAGTGTCACAATATATAGCATCAACAAGATTGCATATAAAGAGAGTGTCAAGGACAAGAACTCGATGAAAAAGCAATTCAGACAAGTAAGCCTTTACTCAAAGAAAGCTAACAAAATATAAATAAATAAGTATATATATTAAAAGAGAAATAGGAATGGCTATTGCCAAAAAACAAAAAAACTAGAGACCCTTGAAACTAAACTGGAAGTAAGAAAGGAATTGATAAGAGTGAAGAAGGCTTCACTCTTGTCTCTATATATACTATCTAATTAGGGGCTATGTGGCGACGTTCTATAGGACCTCCAATATGTGTTGACTTTGTAGGACATATGCCTTGACTTACAAGGCAAGTTTTTCTATGTGTAGGCCACATAGTTAGTTTGATCTTCAAGCTAACAACATGTGTGGCACATGGTCAACTTGTTGACCATGTTTCTAATCTAAAAAGTCAATTAAAGACACCTATGAAGTCCAAGTAACATCTATGAAGCTTCTAGGAAGCTTTCATATCAAATACTATAGAATTTACTTTTACCTACTTTTACTTACTTCCACCTATTTGTATATGTAATTACTAGCTTACATGAGTATGTCCGTGACATTACCCCCCTCTTTTAGAGACGAGTTCTACCAGGAGCGGTCATCATATATTGAAGAAATCTATGATGCGACAAATTATATTCGCTACATACTCTGATCTATTCGAAGAAGAACATGTCGTTCTTGAAGATCTTCATCTCGATTGCATCGTCTTGAAGGTTGTGACAATCATAATGTCTCATCCAGCAGGTCAGCAAATGAAGGCTCTTGAGTCGAATCTGCTAGTTGTTGGTTCTCCATCTCTTAAGCATCACAACTACAAAGAAGCTACAAACAAGGATTGGAAGTACAATATTATCTTACCTAGATGTTGTTTCTTTTATAAAGAAGGTTTCATCTTGATTTTGATGGATGTCATCGATGAAAAGCCTCCACCGCCTTTGTTGTATTTGCAAGATTCTTTATTGGCTCCCATGTGTGCTCACTAATATTATATCTGCGCCAATAGACAAGATATTCTAATTTATTTTAGCGCCGCCTTGAATCTAAGACTTCTTCTACTTCAAACTCTTCATTATTGTCCACTTCTATAGAAGGAGGTGGAGCTTGTCATCTTCTTGGTATGTCCACTGTCTTGTATGGTTCAAGAAGAGACACGTGGAATACAAGATGGATTATCATTGAATCCGATAGATATAAACAATATACAACTAGATTGATTTGTATAGAAATAAAAAATGGTCCTAGCCTTTGATAGTCCAACTAGTCACAAGAACGAGTGGTCTTGATATTGCGACAAAGTAGCCACATCTTATCACCCAAGAGGAATGGTGGTTGTTCCTTTCGATAGAAATCCGCATTGACCTTTTGTTGTTCTTAAGCCTCTTTTAACTGTGCCTTCATTGTTGCATATAGCTTTGAGAAATGAATTGCTAAATCTTTTGCAGCAGGATTATCAACTTTTGAAAAGTCAAAAGTATCAAGTCGTGGATGATAACCATAATTAGCAAAGAAAGGCATTTGTTTTGTAGAAGAATGTACCGTGTTATTGTAAGCAAACTCTGCCAATGGCAAAAGAGTTGTCGAATCATCTTCTTGGTAGTTAATGGTATATCTTAAATATTGATCCAAAACTTCATTAACACGCTCCATTTGTCCATCAATTTGAGGATGGAATGCCGAAGATAGTTTTATATCCACTTTTAGAATCTTAAAAAGAGTCCGCCAAAATCTTGATACAAATTGAGTTCCCCTATCTGATATAATATCCTTGGGTAATCCATGATAGCGATAGATATTGTCAAGAAAGAGCTTAACTGTTTCTTCACCTGTGATAGATTTTGTACATGATACAAAATGTGCCATCTTGGTAAAACGATCTACTATCACGAATATAGAGTCATAAGAACCTGAGATTGGAAGATCCGTGATGAAGTCCATAGAAACAGAAGACCATGGTTATCTGGAATGGATAATGGCTGAAGAAGTCCAAAAGGTTGATGACGAGAAGTTTTTTATCTTGAGAAAATATCACATAATTGTAAAAAATCTTTGACTGCCTTCCACATTTGAGGGCACTAAAAATCCCTAGATATCAGCTCTAAAGTCTTATTATATCCAAAATATTCTACTTCTGGGAAGTCGTGATGAGCTTAAAGAATATGTAAACGTGCTTCTCCTTCTGGAACATATAGGCGTCCTTCGAAATAGAGTAGGTTGTTTTTGAATTCAAATTTAGAAGGATCATGAGATTTAGAAGAATTATTCTTGATATCATGAACAAGAGGGTCTCAAGACATACTTAACTAAACTTGCTTAAGAAAAGTTAAATCAATAGTCAATGTTGATTTTATTGCTTGAAGATGAAATTGCTCCG